CCCGGGAGCCATCCGGTCCAACCTCCTCATTTTACAGATGAGCAAACTGAGACCCCATTCTGAGTGACTTGCCCAAAGTCACACGGATAGTAAGAATCAGAGGCAGAATTTGAAATCAGAGCCTCTGCCTCCAGACACAGCGCTCTTTTCCCAACGTCCCTAATTATTTCATTTCTAATCAAGTAATTTCTCTTCGGCCTTCAAGTGCTCCTGCATTCATTTCTCTGGAAAGGAGCAGGCACTGGCCTGGGGGAAGGGGGAGGGGCGTGTTGGCTCCAAGTCGTGCCACAGCTGGACCAGCTGCACCATATCCCAATGCCTGGGTCTTCTTGGCATAGCTGGGAACGGAGATCGGATTACGCCTTTGGAAATCTGCCTGTCGTAGTCACTCACCATCACAGCTGCCCCGTGATACACAAGGGACTTGGAAACAGGAAAGAAAGAGGAAAAAGAAAAGGGGAGTAAGGAGGAAATGCTTCGTTATTCTTCTGCAAGGTTCTCAGAGATGCTGCCGCATCTTAGATCACCTGGGACTTCTCAGGATCTCAGATTCATATTCCCCTCTTACCACCATGTTTAAAAAAAAGTTTTTAATGTATTACAAACAACTAAACTTGTTTAGTATCCGTTTACATTTAAATTAGTTCATTTCAACACATAATGTATCATCAAAATCAGTGAGACATAGTGAACAAAGGAGCCAGCCTTGAAATCAGGAAGACCTGTGTTCAAATCCTGATTGATGACATCTCTTGGCTATGTGACCCTGGGCAAGTCAATTCACCTTTAAGCCTCTAAGCAGCTCAGTTGCAGATCGGTTACCAATGTGAATTGATCCAACACTTAGTATGACTCTGAGTAAGTCATTTCTCCTCTGTTTGCCTCAGTTTCCTCATCTGTAAGATGGGATTAACAACAACACCTACCTCCTAGGGTTTTTGTGAGGCTCAAATGAGATAATATTTGTAAAGCACTTATATGTCTGGCACATGGTAGGACTTAATAAATGTTGATTGATTGATTATAGAGGGTATTTCCTCACCCAAAGTTACCCTGCACCAGTGAAATCATAAAGAATAATCCAAGCATCCTAACACTTTCTCATGTTTCCCCCTTATTCCTCATCAGGATTCTTATCAATTCATTCTCATTCACTTTTTCTTATCTGATCAAAATTAGAGTAGACTCCATTCTTTTGGTTGTGGGTCCCCCCCCCCCCCACTTTTCATTGTTTCATAAGAATCTTTCCAAATTTCTCTGAATTCCTCATGTTTAGGGATGGGTCCAGGTCTGAGATTTCATCTAGATAGAGAACTCTCAGAGGAGAAACTCCCTTCACTCACACAGATTGGTAACCATGCCTAGATGGATAAGAAGAGAAATGTCTCTCTCAGGGGTGGGGACCCTTCTGCCTCAAGGCTACATGTGGCCTTTTAGGTCCTTGGGTGTGGCCTTCCGACGGTGTCCAAGTTTAACAGGGCAAATCCTGTTATTAAGGGGATTTGTCCTGTGGAAGTTTTGAGGATGTAGAGGGCCACATGTGGCCTCGAGGCTGCAGGTTCCCCACTCCCGGTCTTGTTCATGATCGATATGCATCAGAAGTAGCGCTTGAACCACGGACTTCCTGACAATTTCAGTTGGCAATCCTGTCAGCTCCCTTGGGTTCAATTTTCTCTATGCAGGTGATGCTCAGATCTATATAACTAGCATCAGTCCCAGCTGAATATCACCAACTGACTTTTGGACCTCTTGAAATGGATGTCCCACAGGCATCTCAAATGCAACATGCCCAAATCAGAATTCATCTTTTCTCCCAAACTCTCCCCTTTTCCCACTATTACTATCAAGGACACTCCCATTCTCCCAGTCCTTAAGGCTCACCTCTTCAGTGACATTATCCACTCCTGATTCACAGTCCACAAAATGATCTTGTCAAATCTTGTCATTTTACATTCACAGCATCTCTCCAGTACTTTCCCCTCCCCTCAGTCCCACAGCCATCGCCCTCTCACAGACCCTCATCTCTTCTTACCCAGACTATTGCAATAACCTTCTAATTGTTCCGGCCTCAAGGCTTTGCCTAGTCGGTCCATCCCTCACTCAGTTGCCCAAGTGAGTTTCCCAGCCCTTCTGATCACTTCACTTAACACCCCACCCCGACTATCCAGTCAATAAACCCTGTTATTTTCCTTTTACTGCCAGAATTAAATATGAAGTCCAGTATCTGGGATTTAAGGTTCTTTACCTTTCCAGTCTTCTTACACTCTACTCCCTTTCACGTACTCTGTGATCTGCTACATGGACCTTCTTGCTCTTCCTTTTATCTCTTATCTCTGCACAATAAATTCAAGGTTGTGAACCAAACAAAATAAAATTAACTTGAGCGTGACCATTGGAGCTTTGCCCCAGGACAGGAAATTCGAGAATGCCAGTGATACCGTCCTGGACTCTGTTCCTCCCCTGCCTTCCCAGACTCCTAGGAGCTTCATCCACCCCCACTGGAGACATTGATGAGCTCCTGCTAAGGCATGCTTACTCCCCCATTCACCACCAGAGAACATTCTGGTGTCCTTTCCCCAGCATATACCCTCCCCCTCCCCACTATCAACAAAACAGTAGTGACAGGAACCCTATAGGAAGCCACCACCTACCTTGCCCAGGCACAAAAATTGCTCCTTATGGCTTGGCTGACCATTGAGGTCGGGTCTCAATTTAATTTCTATTTGGAAGTAGGTTTAAGAGAACCAGGTAGCACAATGGATAGAGTCAGGGGTGGAGAACTGCAGCCTTGAGGCCACACATGGCCTTCTAGGTTCTTGGGTGCTGCCTTTTGACTGAGTCCAAGTTTTATGGAACAAACCCTTTTATTAAGGGGATTTGCTGTGTGAAGTTTGGATTCAGTCAAAGGGTCACACTTGAGGACCTAGAAGGCCACATGTGGCCTCAAGGCTGAAGGTTCCCCACCCCTGGACTAGGCACTCTGACAAAATTTCATTTGCTTTAAGTGTCAAAGTAAGAAATACAAAACTGGTAAGTCCTTTCTATGACTCCTTTGGGTTAAAACATTAAGATTTTTCTCTCTAAAAATCAGGTCTTGCGCAGTGGATAGAGCACTGGTCCTGAAGTCAGGAAGACTTGGGTTCAAATCTGGCCTCAAACACTTGACACTTACTAGCTGTGTGACCCTGGGCAAGTCATTTAACCCCATTGCCTAGCAAAAACATTAAATTAAATTAAAAAAAAAATAAAAATCAGGTCTTCCTGACTTCAAGTCAGAAAGTGAGGAAGGTGGTGTTAGGCTACAATGCTTGATAATAACAATAACTGATTTACATACAGCAACCTAAAGGTTTGCAAAGTGCTATCCCTACATTTTCTCCTTTAATCCTCACAACCCTGTGAAGTAGGTGCTATTATAGAACAGAAAATTGGAGCTCTGAGTGGTGAAATAATTGATCAAGGATCACACAGCTACTAAGTGTGTCAGGCAAGATTTGAATATACCATCTTTCCTGACTTTGGGTCTCACACATTATTCACTACACCATTTAGCTGCCCAGGATCAGAGAGACTCGAATTCAAATCCTGTCTTACATACTGACTAGCTGTGTGGCCGGAGCAAGTCATTTTCTTTCTTCAACTTGAATTTCCTAAGGTATAAAATGGGGATAATTACTTCCATAATGGATTCTTTGGTGGAGTCCATAGAATTCTTTCAGGGAGTAGACAGAGAAAAAATCCTTAATAAGCTGTCTTCTGCAAACCTGACATTTCATGAAGACAAAATACCTTCTGTTGATGCTCAGTCGTGTGGGAATCTTTGTCAGGCTGCCAAATGATTGGAATTTGGAGGGGGCAGATTGGAGTTCTTCATCTGAGGTCCATGAACTTTCTATTTTATTTATTTATTTAAGTTTTCAACATTCACTGTTATAAGATTTTGAGCTCCAAATTTTCCCCCCTCCCTGCCTTCCCTCCTCTCCAAGAAGGCATGAAATCTGATATAGGTTTTACATATACAATCATATTAAACATATTTCCACGTTAGTCATGTTGTGGAAGTTTTGACAATTGCTGCTTTGTAATAGTTTTAGATGTGGTAAGGTTAGGCCACCTTCCCTTGCATTTCTTTTCATTAATTCCCTTGCTATTCTGGACCTGTTGTTCTTCCAGATGGATTTTGTTGTTATTTTTTCTAGCTACATAAAATAATTTTTGGTAGTTTGATTGGTAGCCATGATCTTTTAAAACATATATTTTGATAACTATTTCAATGTAACTGGTTTCCATAGGTACCCTTTGCATTTTATTGCACTCATTTCACAACATGATTCTAAGTAGGGCATCGCTAGGCTTCATCAGGCCACTGTCTAAGGGGTCTAGGACCCGAGAAAGGTGAAGAACCCTTGGATTCAACGTACTGTTATGAGGATCAAACAAGATAATGGCCATAAAATACTTTGCAGACCTCATAGTGAATGTTTGATTCAATCCAACATTTATTAAACGCCTCCAGTGTGCTAGGCACTGTGCAAAGAGCTGGTGATACAAAAAAAGGCAAAAATCAGTCCCTGCCCTCAAGAAGCTTACACTCTAACGCTGAGCCGACATTCAAACAAGTTTGTACAAAGGAGCTCTATGCAGGAGACAATTAACAGAGGGAAGGTGGTGGAGTTAGAAGGCCTTGTTTGCTGTATTAAGTATCTGCTTCATTATTCACAATAGTAATATCATCAGCTCTCATTAACCCTTTCCCACATTCTCTCTTCACACACCCAAGGCCCACGCCTCGAGCCTTCTGCGCATGAGCGGGAGGCGGAGGCGGAGCTAAGCCGCGCGTCCCGTTCCGCCCGTCCCCCTTCCCCCCTTCCCTTTCTCCCTTCCCCAGGAGGCGTGGCCTCGCCGCTGTCGTCACCAAGCCCCACCCCCGACGCAGCGCTACATCCTGGCTCGGCCGCCATTTTGTCTCCAGTGTCTCGTTTGCTGTCGGCCGAGTCGGAAGTGTCCTGCGGTAGCTCGGCTGCTAGCGGTGTTCCGAAGCCTTTGTCTGCGCCCGGCTCCCCCTCCGCGTCCCAGGCGCTCGGACCCGCCCCGGAGCCGTCGGCCCGAGCCGCAGCGACGCTTTCCCTTCCCCTCTCCCTCCCGCCCTTCCTTCGTTGCCTTCCTCCCCACCCCGGGACCCGGAGGGACCCACGCCCCTCTGCGCCCTGCGCGCTCCCGACGTGTGTGAGTGAGTGTGTGTGCCCGCGCCCCCCCGGACTCAGGCGGTGTCCCCTAGATGGCCAGCTTTCCCCCGAGGGTCAACGAGAAAGAGATCGGTGAGGAGCCCGGGCGGGAGGGGGGACGCGCCCGACCCCTCCCCAGAATGGGAACTCGGAGGGTGGGGGTCTGCTTTTGTCCTTGTAGCCCCCGCGCATGCAGTAGGCATTTAATAAGTGCCACCAGGACTGCTGGACGGGTTCTCGGGGCACCTGTGCCCGCATCCTCTGGCGCACAATAAAAAGCTTGCCACATTGTAATCCTGCGGTGGATACTTGGACGGGGTCGGGGCATCCGCAGAGCCGTCGCCTGGCGTTCGGGGATGCTTGTGGCGTTGCATTGGACAAGTTTGGGGCGTCTCTCGTGACCCCTGTGCGCCTGGAGGCTCATTGTTGCCCACCGGACTAAGGCACACTGGGCGCCCCGGGAAGGGCAGAAGAGAGGGCTGGGGCGAGGTGACGGGATGGGGGTGGGGAGAGGGAGGCGGACTCCTGCCAGTCTGATTCTTTTTCAGAGCCTGCTTCACCATCCTTCGGTCTGTAAGCACTTCGAAACCCTTACTCTCTTCCAGTTTAAGGGACTGAATGTATGTTCTTCGTTGTGGGATTGATTTCTTTCTCCCCCCCCCCCAGCTATAATTTATTTTAACATTCATTTTTAAACATTTTGAGCTCCAAATTCTCTCCCTCCAGCCCCTCCCCCGACCATTGAGAAGACAAGCAACGAGATAGATTGATTTCTTTCTCAGAAGGAAAGGGGGGGCGGGAAGGAAAGGGCAGCTGGCCGGGAGTTGAGTGGGAGGGGAGGTACTGGGTGAGGAATCCAGGGATCCAAGCTTTTTAGGAAGTAGCTGAAATTGGCCCCAGCCCAGATAAAGTGGCATTTAGGAAGGTGGCCTGGAATGATGAGGTCTGTGGAGGGAGGAGGGGGTGATGCAGCCATTCGAGGGAGAAGACTCTCCCACTGGAATTGCTTCTTCTAACACGTATGGCGTGGGAAGGGCGGGGTGGCCTGGACTGCAGTGGCAGGAGGAGGAAGGCTGTTCACATGGAATTACTGAACTGCAGGAAAGCTGCCCATTATCTGATTGAGTAGCAAACCTTCCTGGAGGAATGGACGATTTAGTTGTGTGACTGACGCACCGCTTTTCCCATTTGTCACTCCAATCGCTAGATTTTTGCTTTCGAATTTGAACGGATTTCTGTATTTCAGAAATCTGAAATAATCTGAAAACTGGCCAAAGGTGGAGCTTGAGAACGAGAATGCAGCCCTTAAGATGGGCCCTGGTGGAGGAAGAAGGGAGTTTGAACCGGATACCGAGTGGGGAAACCAAAGTACTTAATTGTTTCTTCGATTCTGAAACATCGAATTTATGCAAGACGCTATTGCAGGCACACTGGAAGGCAGCATCTCAAGAGGAGTAGAAAGCAACCAGAAAATCCTTTACCCAGTGTTTGGGAGAAACTGGCATCTAGAAACAGCTTTCCCGCTAGCATCCTCATGGGCTTTGTTCGCTATAGAAATAAAATAAATAGCAAGTTAGGCAAGGGCTTCCCCCCTTAATATTTTAAATATTTGTTTTTATTTATTTATTTTTGTTTAAATATTATTTAAATATAAAATGATAGATCATTTTAAATTCAACAATTCGTGTCTACATTTAGAAATTTTTTTAACCTTTTTATTTAAAAGTAAGGCAGTTCAAATTCTATCTTTCCCTTCCCTCCCCCCTCCTGAGATGGTAAGCAATCAGATATAGGTTATGCATGTGCAATCATGTAAAACATTTCCACGTTAATCATTTTCTACAAGAAGACTTGAATAAAAGGGAAAAAATGAAAGAAAGTGGAAAAATAGTGTGCTTCAGTCTATATGCAGTCAACATCAGTTCTTTCTCTGGAGGCGGATGGTGTGCTTCATCAGTAGTCCTTTGGGATTGTATTGCTGAGAGTAGCTAAGTCATTCACAGATCTTCGTGGGACAATGTTGCTGTTACTGTGTACAACATTGCCCTGGTTCTGTTCACTTCACTTTGCATCAGTTCATCAGGTTTTTCTGAAATCATCCTGCCCATCATTTCTTATAGCACGATAACATTCCATTACAACCACAGCTTGTTCAGCCATTCCACAATCAATGGACACCCCTTTAATTTCCAGTTCTTAGTCACCACAAAAAGTTGCTACAAATAGTTTTGTACAGATAGGTCCTTTTCTCTTTTTTTGGATGTCTTTGGGATCCTTGTAGCGCTATGGCTGGATCAAAGGGTGTACACAGTTTTATAGCCCTTTGGGCATAGTTCCAAATTGCTCTCCAGAATGGTTGGATCCACTCACAACTCCACCAGCAGTTCATGAGTGTCCCAGATTTCATACATCTAACATTTTCCTTAATTGTCATTTAGCCACTCTGAAAGGTATGAGGTGGTACCTCCGTTGTTTTAATTTGCACTTTTCTGCTAACGACTTAAAGCATTTTTTCACATGACCATAGATAGCTTTGATTTCTTGTTCATATTCTTTGGCCGTTTTGAATATTTAATGCTTTCATCTCACAATAGTGTTTTAGCAGGTTATTTTTCAATACCTAAATTCTATACAAAATTATAGAATCTGGAGAGCTTAAGAGGCCTTCTGTCTCAGGCCCTACCTCTCTCTATCCTATAATCCCACACGCTTATTTCACTCTTGAAATAGATGAAAAATTAAGTATGTGTTTTTAAGGTGAAGGCACTTTCCCCCACCCCCTTTCCTTTCATTTCTGTTCCTTATATTAATTTTGTGGTATCTCCGGTCAACAGATATTTGTTGAACATTTACTGTGTGCAGTTATAAAAATGTAGGGGCCAAAGCAGGACTAAGAAAGGGCCATTTAATGCCTAAGATTATCTTGCCCTTGGGCTCAGGAACAAGGCTTACAGAGAGCTTACTAGATACCCATTTCCCTTTTAGTGTCTGATTCTTTGGTGAAGCCCAGGTCTGGCCCTGCAGGATAAGTCACTTTGAATGCTATAATGACTTGGATTCTATGGGATTCCTTCGAGGAGTAAAATAACTTGATCTAAAGTTCTGTAATAGCTGGCCATGGCCTGCCTGCTGTCTTGATTGTGACAATTTACTTTTTGTAGGGATGTACTGGTTTGGGAGTTGGTATTAACCAGTCCAAGGATAGTAATGAGAAAGGAGACTTTTAAAAATGAACAGTGCTCAACTTTTTTCTTACGGCATTCATCAATAGCTTGTGGAAGTTCTCTTTGGATAAAAGGTCAGATGTTTGTGTTTCATCGTAATTTACCAATGAAAAGTGTATTTTGTGAGGAAAGGTGGTCGATGCCTGTCATTACATATGCTGGGTTTCTTAAGCCAGCCTTTTGGTCTCCTTGAATAATAGAGCTGGAGAGAGTTGTTGCCTTGAGATACTGCCCTTTGTCCTGGTAGGGGGTATGGGTAGCTGCAGGAGTGGGTAGGTACAGCTCAGTTTCAGGATAGGAAACTAGGGAGGAATAGGAGGTAGAATCTGAAGGCCCTAAATCAAAGTTCTTTGTTAAGAGGTGGCCGTGTTTTACTGGCATATATGTATTAATAACACTGTGGATGGTATTTTATAGAGAAAGCTCCCAAGTCTTTTAATTCCCCTGGCAACACTGCCCCTGGTAGAATAGAAACTTTTAAAAGTTACTAGTATTTAATCATAATTCCTCAAAAGAAAGGGGGACTAAAAATAATTGACAGTGAAGTATTAGATATTTGTTCAAACCAGCAGACAGATTTAATCTGTTTTTGGTTTTCCGAAGCACTTTATTGATGAACCTTGAGCTATTTTTTTTTTTTTTTTGGTAGATCTGGAATTAATTTGGAAAAGATCTTGCCTTTGAATAGTGCTGTGTGATTACACTTTTTTTTAATCTATGCTCCTTTGTCCTTTAATCCTCACACAACAACTCTGAAGCAGCTAGGGCCAGAATTATTCATGTCCCCATTTTGCAGAAGAGGTGTAGAGAAGGAGATGACTTGCCCAAGTCTGTTCAAGTTGTGGCAGGGCAGGACTAAAACCAGGGCTCCTTATTCAGATAAAGTGCTCAAGCAATGTAAATGATGGTGCGGCTGGAGCTTGGTAGCAGATCAGAGTCAGCTGATGGGAACCCAATAGGAATGAGGGAGCTGGTTTATTTCACTATTAACCACGTGGCCAGATTGGGTTTTGTTATTAAAGATAAGTAACTTATTCCTACCACATTACCAAAAAGGAGTTGTTGCCATGACCAAGGTTAAAACAAAATAATTAAGGTGGAGATCCTCACTTTATAGAAAATATTTATCATGAAATTGAGTTGTTCTTATCTGTGCTTAGAAAAGATGCCTTTGTTCCATTGGTAGTTGTCAGGTGGGTTTGTGATTTTAAGTTTTTTGTGTGTGTGTATGTGTATGTGATTTTAGTGAGATCTGAAAACCCCATTGACCCGTTTCATTCCTGTATCTGAAAGGCAATTTTTTTCCCCCTGATTTCATGGCTTAAAGATTACATGCGAGTCTCTTGGTTGGAGAATGAGTGAGGATGCAAGGTGAGAGAGTAGCCACACTCTTCCTTGCATAGATAGGGTGTTCTTGTCTCTCAAAAGACAACATTCATTGAAAAAAATCTTTAAATTTTGACTAGTTGAAATACTGAAGTTGTTAAAGTCACTTCCTCTGAATAGTAAACAGTTTGTCTTTTTCTGTTTTAGATTTACTAACTTATAGCTGTTAAAGGCAGCAGGGCTTGGATCTTTGACTTGAACTGAAATCATGACATTGTTACCTGAACAGTTTTCCAATCTTACAGATTTGTACTTGGGAGGATTTTCAGAGCATGGCCTCTGGAGGGAAGTGGGTGGTTTGGGGGGCAGTGGATTCATAGCCCCATGGGTCTGGTCTGTTGGCTTAGTCTGAAAGCTAAGACATCCTTATAGCAAAGATGAATCATGCCTTGTTCTTCTCTTCTCTTTAGTGAGATCCCGTACCATAGGAGAACTTCTGGCCCCAGTAGCTCCTTTTGACAAGAAATGTGGCCATGAAAACTGGACGGTTGCCTTTGCTCCTGATGGTTCTTACTTTGCTTGGTCTCAAGGACATCGCACAGTGAAGCTGGTTCCCTGGTCCCAGTGCCTCAAGAACTTGTAAGACACTGTCACTTTGTACTTAATTACAGTATTCCAGAAAATTTCTGTTTATGGAAGAATATAAATGCAGTCATAGAAAGTTGTCACTGCAAGGTTTGAGCAAGGCTACAGGTTGTGACAGAATCTTAAACTGGTGAACAATAAGGCCAAGTACTAGCAATTTTTTCAAGGGTATTTGGTCTTGGAAATTACTCGACATTTTCTCCATTATTAATTGGTCATTTGCCTTTAAGTGTCTAATTCATTCAAGGCACAGACTGTCTTTTAAAACAAATGCTTCTATGTACTAGGACCCAGTGTAGTATTGTTTCTTGTTTGACTCTGAATGTGCTTGGTGCTCTCTCACTTTGTGAACCAGTCAGCTCCCTAAGGCTTGATTCTCATCTCCACGTTGATGACTCACATGGCTGTGTTCCCTGAATTTCGGTTCCACGTCACCAGGTGTCCATTGGACGTTTCTGATGACATCTAAAAGACGTCTCAAACTCAGCCTTCCTCTCTCCCCCCCAATCTCCCGCCCATCTTCCAGACTTTCCTCCGTTCAGGGCACCGTCATTCTGCCAGTCTCCTCAGGCCTGTTCCCCCAGCGTCATCCTGAACGTCCGGTCCCATGTCTCACCTCCAGCACCTTCTCAGCGAGACTAGCTGCAGCCTCCCAGTTGGTCTCCACGACAGGGCAGATCTGAGCCTGTCTTAAAGCCCTTTACCCCCGGCCCCACCTCTCTTCGCTTCACGTCCATTCATGCCCTCCGAGGGTCTCCTTTCTGTTCTCACACAGGATCTTCCAGGAGCCCTCGCTCCTCATCTCTGCCTCCTGGGACCTCTTTCTTCTTGACAGTGCAGCTTGAGTGTCCCTGTCTGCAGAAAGCCTTTCTGGGGCTGCCTTAGCTCCCTCGTGCTGTGTTTTTATAGGCTCCTCGAGAGTGAGGATCGTTGTAGTCTTTGTATGCCCAGCACCTAGTATGGCACAGGCATGCATTGTGGAATTTAATTTTTCTTTGATTTGGGAGATTATAGAGCCTTAGGGTGGGACAGCTAGGGGACGCCATAGTGCATAGAGTCTCAGACCTGGAGTCAGGAAGACTCATCCCCTGAGTTCAGATGTGACTTAGACATTATGTGTCTGATCCTGGATGAGTGACTTAATTCTGCCTCAGTTTCCTCATCTGTCAAATGAGCTGGAGAAGGAAATGGCAAATGCTGCAGTATCTTTCCAAGAAAACCCCCAAATGAGCTCACAGACAGTTGGACGTGACTGAAAAAACAACTGCACAACAAAAGAATGCTAGAGTTATCATTCTAAGCCTTAATATTTTAATTTAATTTAATTTTTGCTTTTTGGTGAGGCAATTGGGGTTAAGTGATTTGCCCAGGGACACAGCTAGTAAGTGTCAAGTGTCTGAGGCCAGGTTTGAACTCAGGTCCTCCTGACTCCAAGGCCAAAGCTCTATCCACTGTGCCACCTAGCTGCCCCTAACCCTTCTATACCCCGATTGAGAAAATATAGGGAAATGGGACTGAGTGTGTGCTATCACAGGATGTATATAGCACCAGGGTGGGTTTTGGGTGGGGGCATTTGTCCCTTTTTTGAAAAATAGCTAATAATTGACTTGGCACCCTTTTTTTTTTTTTAAATTTACCTCTTTCCTTAAAGTAGAATCGCAGAATGGTGTGTGGAAGGGCACCATACTGGTTAATTGAGGGGTGGGGCCCAGTTAATCATAGTTCTGTTGTACTTTATTGTTGAATTTGTGTTAGCTCTTTATGTCCACTGGAGACTGTTTAATGCCTTAAATTTATGCAGCAGCATTTTAGTGGCCTAGATGGAAATGATCTTTGTTCCTTCATCTTCCTTTCTTCCTTCCTTTTCTTTTTTCTTAAAGCCTCTTGCATGGCACCAAGAACATCACTAATTCAAGTAATTCGAGACTTTCGAGACAAAACAGTGATGGCGTTTCAAAGAACAGGCCTTGTGAGCACGTCATAGACTGTGGAGACATTGTGTGGAGCCTGGCCTTTGGATCCTCCGTCCCTGAAAAGCAGAGTCGCTGTGTGAATATAGAATGGCACCGATTCCAGTTTGGGCGGGACCAGCTCCTCCTGGCCACTGGTTTAAGCAATGGACGCATCAAAATATGGGATGTCTATACAGGTACGGACTCTTCCCCGAGAAACTTCATCCTATTGATTCACATTGTGTGATACGTGTATCGGCTTTAAATGGCCGGTTTAAGGGTAGGAGCATGTTTAAGCGTGTCTCTGACTGATTTCCCGGGGTCCTGCTAAGTTGAGTTCTGTGGTTCAGAAAGAATTGGAATTCACAAGGTACTGCCTTTAATTGAGCTGTTGGAAATCTGTTTTTGCCAAATTGGTACTCAAAATGTTTAGTGCTACTCCATTTTTATGCTTTAGTACAATTCTAGAACTTTACTCCATCTGTTTTGTTACTCTTTAAATAAACGTCATTGGGAGATGAAGAGAGGACTTTGGGAGGCAGTTGTTAGTTAATTAGTTTTCTGTTTCAAACAGCCAAGTTGTTAGTGATTGGATGACATTGAAGTTTTCAAGGCAAACCTGCTGGTTTCATCAATTATTAACTTTTGGAAGTTTTAGGTGATAATTTAGCTGAAGTTTTTACCTATCAGGTTGAGAAGCTAAATTCTTTATTTAGGTTATTTTAAACGAGCAATTGTAATTCAGGAAAGTAATTCTGGAGTTTTCCTTTTAAACGAGAACAAAAGAAAGATAACATTGTAGTAGATAAGTTACTGGGTCTTTGAAAGTCAAACTAAATGACATAACATGTATGTTTTACAGGAAAATAAAACCTCTGTCATAGTAGAGCCATCATTACTGTGACGTATATGGAAACATTTGTGTCCTTCTAGGTTTGGAGTTTTGTTGGGGGTGGGTGAAGTGGAGAGGTTGTAACAGGCCTGTGATTTCATTAGCGGAGGGAACTCCTCTGGGTTAGAGGGGGACAGGGCCTTCTAAGAAAATTACAGTCTTTGCTGTTGCCTGCGCCCAAGAGGACGGGTGACTTGCCTGGAGTCACTTAGTGTGTTTTGGGAGCACTCAAAATTAGATCTTCCTGCCGCCATAGCTAGCTTTCTGCCATTCTGCCAAATTTACTCTTTTACTTTTAAATGTATGGAGTTAATAGGTTTTTGAGTAGTTGGACATTTGGGTTTTTTGGGGGGGGGGGTTAGGCAATGGGGTTAAGTGACTTGCCCAGGGTCACACAGCTAGTAAGTGTTATATGTCTGAGGCCAGATTTGAACTGAGGTCCTCCTGACTCCAGGGCCGGTGCTTTATCCATTGCACCACCTAGCTGCCCCTGGACATTGTATTACCAGGCTTTCCAGTGTATAGAACAACTGGGCCTTATATTTCAAAAATTAGGCCCTCAGACACGTTGGAAATAGTTTAATGTTGAAGTTGTCTTTAGTTACGCAAATTGAATCAGTATGACACACTATATTCTTTGTTTCCTGGCTTTTCAAAATTTCTTTGTTTTTAATGAGCTTAGATTTTATCTGAAAGGAAAAAATGGTCTGGGACCTGACTGGTTTATAAATAAGGGCTCTTCAGAAAAAGCAAACACAAAACGCAGCCCAAGTAATACACTGATGGATCATGAGAGCAGGAAAACTGCTCTTAAAAAAAAGGAAGGAGAAAAAGGAAAAAAGGAAAAAAAAAAAGGAAACTGTTATTATTCACTCAGAGGAATTAAAATGCTGGTAATAAAATAAATTTTTACTTTACACTTTTAACCCCCAAGAGGATTTCCTCTTTTGAGGAAATATTATGAGTGATTTGAAAAATAAATTAAAATGTTAATCACATTTTTGTGTTTTCATTTGTTTTTAGGAAAACTCCTCCTTAACCTAATGGATCATACAGAAGTGGTCAGAGATTTAACTTTTGCCCCAGATGGAAGCCTGATTCTAGTGTCGGCGTCAAGAGACAAAACTCTACGAGTGTGGGACCTGAAGGATGACGGTAAGTGAGTAAGCGCCTTCCTCTCTGGGGTTAGAGAAGCGCTATCTAGTTGTTAATGAGTGACATGGAATATTAATGTCATTTGTCCTCTTCTTCAGTAATAGAGCGTATGATAGAATCCAGTACTTTGTTTAATTCTCGGAATTTTCTGTAAGGACCAGTGAAAGGGACCCAGCTAAGTAGACAGTCTGATTGTGATTCATGTTGGGAGCTAGGGCCCAGCCGCAGAACCTGCGTCCATTTGGTTTTGGTCTAAACTGAGCAGTGTCCTTTTTTCTTCTGCATTTGTTTAGTAAGAATTTAAGTGAGGGGCAGTTGGGTGGCGCAGTGGATAGAGCACTGGGCCCTGGAGTCAGGAGGACCTGAGTTCAAATGTGGCCTCAGACCAAACACTTGACACTTACCTGTGTGACCCTGGGCAAGTCACTTAACCCTAGTTGCTTAAAAATAAATAAAGAATTTAAGTGAACCTTTAAGGAACCAATAGGTACAGTTTAATAAAATCTAGTAGATACCCAGAGTAAAGAGCAGTTTGCATCTGGTCATTTAGGATGTGGATTTTAAGCAGTAGAGTAAACCTCATCTTGGGGGGAAGTACTGAATATATTACCAAAAGTATTATAAATATATAGTTCCTGAGGAAATTATATCAGATTTTTCCGTCTTCCCTGCCCCTCTACAGTATTGGAGGTGGTCAGTCAATCAATAAACATTTTTTTTTTATGTTTTTTAAATTTTATTTATTTAGGCAATTGGGGTTAAGTGACTTGCCCAGGGTCACACAGCTAGTAAGTGTCAAGTGTTTGGTCTGAGGCTGGATTTGAACTCAGGTCCTCCTGACTTCAAGGCTGGTGCTCTACCCACTGCACCACCTAGCTGCCCCAATAAACATTTATTAATTGCTTACTACATGCCAGGCCCTCTGTGCTAAGAGCTGGGGATGCAAAAAGAGACAAAAGACAGTCCCTGCCCTCCAGGAGCTCACAGTCTAATGGGGGAGACAATGTGCAAACAGATCTGTACAGATAAGCGCTAGAGAGGACCAGTAAGTAGGAAGTACTTAAGAAAGGAAGGCACTGGCATTGAGAGGGATGTGGAAGGCGGGTTATTAGATACTGTAAACTCTGTGGGAGTGCCCATGGTGGACTTAGGAGGCATTCCAAGCATGCTGCCATCTCCTTCTACCCAGCACCCTTAGCATAGCACAAAGACTTATCTGTGCTGCATGCCACAGGCCAGAGAGTCACAGCCAAGTTTCTACAGGCCCATTGTCACTTAAAATGTCAACTGCTGCTAAAATGTGAGCCCTTAGAGGGGAGGAAGCAAAAAACTCAAATTTAGGGAAGTGGTTTTAGCTTCCGATGAAACTGACCATTTCCTGGCGTAGTTATGTTACAAGAAGCCGAGAGATTGGCACCTGGGACACCCCCCCCCCCACCATCCCCCAGGTTATAGGAATGATTGATGGTTGCTTGGGAGACGAGGATTCTCACAACATTGTTCTGGAGCTTTCATCCAGCCTAAGCTCTCCCTTTGCTATGACCCCCTTTACCAATGTGGGAGCCCCAGATAGGATTCTCACAAGTACAGAATCTTACTATTTTTACATTCACATGTACGTTAGCATTGGCTTCCTCCAGGCCTGGCCAGATAGGCCTGAAAGATCTTTTGATTTAGGTTGTGGGGTTGAGGGGAAGACCAGATTCCCCTGATGATGGTCTTTTCATGTCCCATTTTAGTAAAAATCCTGGCCAGTGATAAATGAAATCTGCCCTTGACTAGGTGTCGAGAAAGAGCACTCATTTAAACTCAGTTGAGAATAATCCCTTCTACTGTAGTGGGTTGTGAGTGGAAAGAGAGAAGGGTGAGTCCCTGTGGGCTTTGAGGACCTTTCTCGCTGCTGTTTGAAATGGGTGCCGTTGGTAACTTGTCTGTTCTTGTTCAGGAAACATGATGAAGGTCCTGAGGGGCCACCAGAACTGGGTTTACAGCTGCTCCTTCTCCCCGGACTCTGCCATGCTGTGTTCAGTTGGGGCCAGTAAAGCAGTAAGTATCACAGTTCTTGGACATTGACTTGTGAAGTGATTATCCTAATGTGTGCACAATCACTTGAAATCTTAGTAACCCATCAAGCCTGTGCTCGGTGTCATGAGTATCTTAAATGTTTTACAATGAGGAAAAAGTTGCATGAAAGAAATGGAATAAGCCAGTAGAGATGTTAATTGTGAACTGAGAACTTGAACTGATTTTAGCTGAAGCTGTTCTGTAAACTATATTGGGGGGGGTGTTGGGGAGGGGATCTTTGCATTTAGATGTTTATTGTAAAAGCTGAGAAAGTTACTGTGTTATTCAGAAGAGAGTTAGCTCAAATAAGACATTACTTTGCTAATGATTTTCTTCTCTGTTCTATTTCTCGTCCAGTGTGCTGTTTTTTTTTTTTTTTAATGTGAGTCTCAGCTGGTCCTGGACTTAAAACAGAAAAAAAGTGGCTTATAAAATTAAAAGTTGTGAATAAAAGTAGGGGGAAGAGTAGTTGGCTTCTGATAATCTCTCCTCTGGCCTGCCTAGCATACTAGGAAGCAGTGTGGGTGAAGGGGTCAAGGTGCGCTTCCAAGAGCTGCCTTCAGAGAGAGTTCCCTTTGGAACTCCCCCTGGCCAGCCTTCAGCTGGGGCAGATTCAAGGGAGCCTGATTTAGCTTCAGAGATGGAGGAGAAGGATGCCCAGGAAAGGCCAGGGAGTGGGCTAAGCAGCATCGGGCACTTGGAGCTGGCTGGGCTGGGAGGCTGATGGAAATGCATTGGATAGCCAAGTCTGGTAAAAATGGGAGTGGTCAATGTTGCAAGTTTGGAGCAGAATATGTAAAGTCATAGAGAGCAGAGATCAGATGTTGACATTGCTGTTTTAGGCTGTGTGTTTTCCATAAGCTTCTTGCTTTCCCTGTCACAGGTGGTGGCAGCAATATTGGTGTGATTGAGGTTAAGCTGGCACCACTCGCACACAGCGCACAATGGTGCCAGCGGGGCAGAGTGGCATCTCTGGCTACCGGGCTGGGGGCGACCTTTACCATAGGACGGTGAAGTAACCTTGCATTCGGCTGCAAGGGGTACTGTACGTACGCAGGTGCTGGTCGGCGTCCACTTTCTGCTTCTCTCTCTTTCTTTTTTTTCTTTATTTTTATTTCCCCACAGTGAAACCCACTGACCTCCTCCAAGTAAATTGGTATTCCAGTCTTATGGAACTTGGGGGTCCAAATAGTGAAACCAATTTAGTGTAACAGAATTGGCTTTAAGATGGTTTCTCTGTACTATTTTTGGATTTGTATAAGGTGCTAGAGCTACCTTAGTCTTTGGTTCAGTTTAAAATTTGTGCTTGTTTTCTTTTGTTTGAAATACCAGTATTAATATCAAATCTGTGCAGAAAATGTGAGCTAGCTTCAAAAGAGGACTCAACTCCAAGAGGAGTTCATTAATATAAGCCTTGAGAGTTAAAGGCTTTTCCTCTAACGTTCAGCTGAAAATAGAGTTTAAGACGATATTTAAAGCCATCCTGCACAGTCTAAAAGCTGCAGTTTATAATCCAAAATTCTATGTACATTTTGCATTGAAGTAGTAGTAAATTTCATTGATTAATAGCTAAAGTCTAAAAGAATAAGATGGGTAAATCTCATGTCAAAGAAATGTTGTGATTTTATTACTTTCCTAAAATAGAGGCACTTTATTTAAATGTGTAACATGGTTAAGCATCCTTATTGTTTGCCCAAGAAAATTCTCTTTGCTTGCAGTATCTGTTTCTCTTCCTAGGCTCACGTTGGTGACCCAAGCCTATTGTAAACAAGTGATTATCTCAAAGGGAGATGCCAAAGGAGTAACAATTTGTTAACCTTACATTTTCTGTCTGTATATATTTTTTTTAATTTTGGTAGTTTCTGGAAAAAAAAAAGTAAGAAGGGGGAATTGTAGTACTTAACACTATCTCTTGTCAAATTTAGTTAACTAGTTTTTTATACACATATATACATATCTATAAATGAAATTCAATATAACTTTGTGGTTAAATTACATTGCCTTTATATTTGGGCTTATTTTATAATTAACATTTAACAGACACTTTTGATATAGAATTTGCATGTCTGCTTTAATTAACTTTAAAACTGATTTTAATCTACCTGACTATGACACTGAGCATATTTTTAATTACTTGTAATTTATACTGCTTAATTTAATATAATTCTAAATAAATTTAGCAGTTTTAGATAAGATGTGTGATTTTTGTCATCTGTGTATCCGAAGGAAGCTATAATATTTGTTTTTTTATTTCAGGTTTTTCTTTGGAACATGGATAAATACAGCATGATACGAAAGCTGGAAGGACATCACAATGATGTTGTAGCTTGTGAGTTCTCTCCTGATGGAGCGTTACTGGCTACTGCATCTCACGATACTCGAGTGTATGTCTGGGATCCGCATGTTGGATCAATTCTGATGGAATTTGGGTAGGTAGGGTGGGGAATGACTTACTCTGTTCCTTCCTCTGTCTCTGGCCTGTCTGTTAACTTCTAGAAGCATGGTGCTTGGCACAAAATCGGCTCTTAATAAATGCTGATTGGGCTTACTCGTGTATTTAGGGAACAAATACAGAAATATGGTCTCGTGTAGATCATTTTGTGGGGCCATTGGGTTACTGGCTGGGTCTTACTATTGGCTCGTCACCGGAACCTCCCTGTGGACATAGTCACGTTTGCAGATCAGGAGGTCTTTGTGGTTATTGGCGCCTTATTGGGAAGGAGTCATTGAAATAGAAGTCTGCCTCCTAGTGTCGAAACCCGGTCAGACAAGGAGTGTCCAGGGCGCCAAGTTTTGTGGTCAGTCTTCCTTGGACAGGCCCCTCTCTCACCCATCTGTTTTCAGAAGCACACGTGCAGTTCCATTTTACACAAGTTAGGGTTTGGTGGGCAGGGGATTGCTGGCTCTGAGTGACCTGACGTGGGCCCTGGTGTGTGTTTGTTGCAGGCACCTGTTTCCCCCTCCGACGCCCATATTTGCCGGAGGATCCAATGATGGGTGGGTGCGAGCTTTGTCTTTCAGTCATGATGGACTGCACATCGCCAGTCTTGCTGACGACAAGTAAGTGAACTACAGTTGTGTTTGCTTTGATGTCCTTTCGTTCTTCCTAATAATTATTTAAAATGTGTTCTTTAAAAAAGCCTTTCTTCACTGGCCTGCAGTTGGTCCCATCCAGGCATTTGCTCCAATATTATTTGCTTTCCTCAGAAATTGGCACCATTGTTTTACTGAAAATGCCCACCCGATTAAAGCCTGACAAGAAAGGCTCTATTAAATTGCAGATGTTATCGTAGTTCACTGTTTGGTTACTGTCTTTGTGTTTCCAGCACCTTGCTTGGGCTGGCACTGCAGCACGTGCTCAGGCAGCGTGTTGAGGTGGAGGCAGAGGGCTGGCCCTCAGGGGACAAGCACTAGGGCGTGACCTTAGCCTAGAGCGGCAGCAGTGGCCCTCCTTGGATCTGTTTTCTGTCTTGGAGCCCACGGCTCTTTCTTTGGGTCGTTTTAAACCCGTCCTGTCCATTTGTCCCAGGATGGTGAGGTTCTGGAGGATCAATGAGGACTGCCCAGTTCAGGTGGCAACTCTGAGCAACGGCCTGTGCTGCGCCTTCTCTACTGACGGCAGCGTTTTAGCTGCAGGGTGAGTAGCGCTGCGGCTCCCTGGGTGTCCCGGGACCTCCTAGGGCGCTATGAAGCAGCTCCTTACTTTGTCAGTGAGCTCCCATCAATGCTGGCGGCGCCTGCCCATCTCTTACCCCCCCCCCCGCCCAATCCCTGCAGGGCTGTCTAACTGCTGCGTGGTTTGTCTTCTCTCCAGGACCAGTGACGGCAGCGTGTACTTTTGGCCCACCCCGAAGCAGGTCCCGAGCCTCCAGCATCTGTGCCGCATGTCCATTCGGAGAGTGATGCCCACACAGGAAGCCCAGAGGCTGCCGCTCCCTCCCAAGCTGCTGGCGTTCCTCTGCTACCAGATGTAGAAAGTTTGCGGAACTGACCAGAACTCCTTCTCACACGCCTCCACCTTCCCTGACTCCAAGCATCTGTTCCTGCGGGCCTAGAAGACTTATTTAAATTTGATACATTCTTGTACTTCATTTTCAGGTGGAGCTTTTACAATGTTATTTATAGACTATATTCAAACTGTTTCTGAAGATAACAAACTGAAAGGGTTTTTTAGCTCTAACTGTGAAAACATGTACATACTTAGACATAAACTGCTAGATGTCACGTGTATTTTTTTTTTATTTTTTGCTTTTCCTAGTTTTGTCATGTATATATTGCTTCAGTAGCGCTCACAGTATGTATCTTTGCTGTAAAGTGGAAGGAATTTTTATTCTGGGACACTGTTAGATGGTCAATATTGACTTAAGGAAGGTAAATTGCCCCATACAAATGTGTATTGGTTTTTGGGAGAGGGGGGTCAAACTTCTGACCTGCAAGTGAAATAGTCTTTATGGAGGGAAAGAATTTTGTTTTCCTTAGGAATGGCATCTGAGAGGTGAAATTTGAATGTGATGTATTAATATACAACAGAGCCAAGGAATATATAACTAGTAAACAGGTAATTTTCTTGTCTAAATGCAACTGCAGGCCTTAATTTTGGAGAGTAACTTGTTATTTTAACCCCCATGGTCTAAAGTATTTTAATCGGTTTGAAAAATCCATCTACTGTATTATTGCTTAGTGTTTTTTTTTTTCTGTAGCAATGGGATGTTTTTGTCTTTTTTTTTTTTTTAAATCCTGGTTTTTATTTCTGACTGCCATATTATTTCTTCAGGGGGTGGTATTGGTGAAATGCCAAAGAGAAGCAATGTGTTTGCTTTTGCCTTCTGTTATTTATCTGTACCTGCAGATATTATAAATGTATGCATTACGTAAAATGCCTGATTATATATTTTTGTTGACTATTTTTATTAAAGACTTGTACAAAATACCTATCTTGTGTACTTATTTCTCTGAGTTTTGGAAGGTTGAGCCCGCTCTCTCTTAGTTCTTTATAACATTGACTCTCACAGCTCTATTGGACACATTTCATGATTTGTAATACCTTGAAATGGAACACAGGAGAGATTCATGACCGTGGAGCTGTTTACATTTTACATTTGATTTTTTACATTTTTTTACATTTGATTCTTCTGGTTTAGAGTATTAAAAATAATTTCAAGTTGAGATTACTATGTTGAGGGAAGCATGTTGATAGAAACATATTACTGTGTTGATAAAAGCACAGCAGAGCTTTAAGAGGAGGTATAGTTAGAATGCTGTGCAAAAGAGGAAGGGCATGATCTTTGGGGGAATGAAAATGCTAACAGCCAGCCTATCGTTATTCGTGAGAAATGGGTAACAGTGTATTTTTTCTTTTCTTTTTTAATTATTTTTAGTTTTCAACAATCACTTCCATATGCTTCTGATTTTTAAATTTTTCTCTGCCTCTCTCCCTAAGATCTCATATAGGCTCTACGTATACATTGCTATTAAACATTTTCACATTAGTCATGTTTTAAGGAAGAATTAGAACCATTAGGAGGAACCACAAGAAAGAGGAAACAAAAAAAACAGAAGGAAAAAAAAAGAGCAAGTAGTATGCTTCGACGTGCATTCAAACTCCATAGTTCTTTCTCTGGATATGGGTAGCATTTTCCTTCATGAGACTTTTGAAGATCTTTGCATTGCTGAGAAGGGCTTAGTCTATCAAAGTTAATCACTGCACAACATGGCTGTTACTGTATACAACATTCTCCTGGTTCTGCTCACTTCACTCAGCATTAGTCTGTACAAGTCTTCCTGCTCATCACTTTTTTTTCTATTTTTTGGCGAGGCAATTGGGGTTAAGTGACTTGCCCAGGGTCACACAGCTAATAAGTGTCAATGTCAAGTGTCTGGTCTGAGACTGGATTTGAACTCAGGTCCTGACTCCAGGGCCAGTTCTCTATCCACTGTGGCACCTAACTGCCCCCAGCTTATCATTTCTTCTTTTTTTTACGTTCTTATTAAACATATTTTCGGATTAGTGATATTTTAAGTAAAAATTAGAACCAATAGGAGGAACCACCAGAAAGAGGAAACAAAACTCAACAGATCTGCATTCAAATTCCATAATTCTTTCTTTGGTTGTAGATAGCATTTTCCATCACGAGGCCTTTGCAGATGTCTTAGATCCTTGCATTGCTGGGAAGGGTTAAGTTTATCAATATTAGTCATCACACAACGTGGCTGTTATTGTGTACAACGGTCTCTTGGTTCTGCTCCCTTCACTCAGCCTCAGCTCATGTAAGTCCTTCCAGGTTTTTCTGAAGTCAGCCTGTTCATCATTTCTTATAGCACAATAGCATTCCATCACATTCATATGCCACAACTTGCTCAGCCATTCCCCAATTGATGGGCATCCTCTCAATTTCCGATTCTTTGCCACCACAAAAAGAGCTGCTATGAATATTTTTGTACATGTGGGTCCTTTTCCCATTTGTATGATCTCTTTGGGATGCAGCCCTAGAAGTGCTGTTGCTGGGTCAAACTGCACTTTTTGAGTAAACAAAAGGAGTTCCTTGGGGAATTATCAACCTTGACTTAATTTAACTGTGATATTTAGAGTTGTGTTAATGTAACCAAGGGTCTTCAGACAATAGGTGTGGTCTTGAGAAATTTAATAAATGATGCCTCAAAACTTTGTAAATTTTTTAAATGGCTTAGCATATCATCTGATGCAGAGTATCAGTATTTTTTTTTAAAGCCAAGCAAATTAGCATACCTAAGTTTAAATTAATCATTAGTTTCTCCCATTTATGCACATTCATGCAGTCTCAGACTTCAGACCAGTCAGTGGAGTTGCCATAATTGCCAGTGAACATATTTGCATAGATTCCATACAACTGAAAGAACTAGAGTTTGTATTAGTTACACTTTATGTGCACTTACGTCAAATTGAATACCTTTATATCATAAAGATTAAGGGCAATTTTTCTCATTGATTCCCATTCTGGCCTAAAGCTCAGTTAATTCGTAAGCTCTTGGAATCTGACATTTTCCCCTCCAAAGAAAAATCTTTTCTAGATGATACAAGCTGACTCTGTTAAACGACTGAAATGGGCATGTACGTAGATACTGAAGTCTAAATTTTTAAAAGATTTGTTCAGAGCTTTTTTCATTCCTCAGGAGAGCTCCCATCTATAGGGTCTGAATCAGAAGGTTTGGTGTTAGAGGGAGAGGATGCCAGAAAGGGGCTGACCCACTTGCTTTATTCTGTAAGAAGGGTTAGTGCAAGGGTGTCAAGACTTTTCTTGGAGTGACTGAGCAGAAGAGGATGACTAGCTAATTGGGGAGTTATTTTAATTTAGTAGTCTGCTCTAATAGGCTACAAAAGGAAAGATTGTTGGGGTCTCCAATTCTGGAAATCTTAAGAACACACAACCTGGGGGGCAGCTAGGTGGTGCAGGGGATAGAACACTGGCTCTGAAGTCAGGAGGACCTGAGTTCAAATCCGGCCTCAGACCAAACACTTGACACTTACTAGCTGTGTGACCCTGGGCAAGTCACTTAACCCCAATTGTCAATTGCCCTAAAAACACACACACACACACACACACACACACACACACACACACAAAACTTCTTGTGTTGAATTATCCAATCATGCGCTTGCCCCATCAATTTCCAAATTCCTCTGCAGCAAATTGTGTGCTTGTATTAGCAGTATTCTCTCAAGGAAAGCTGGCTTAGAAAATCTGCAGTTCTTTATACCCAGGGTTAACTTGTTTAGTGCCCAGGAAAGATGCATGTGAATGGTGGAGAAAGGTGGAGAAACTATCTTTGGCAGCCAGATTATCCTTTTATGATGAAGACAAAGGTCACTAAAAATTGACCTGTTATAGGAGCTTAAATTTAATTTAATAATTTAAATTTGTGTCCTGTCATTATGCGAAGGAAAGATGGTTTCACTAGTCTGTGCTGCCCCAAGGCGCAAAGCCAGCCAAGGTGTAGAGTACACTAAATGGTGCTCATTGTGGGGTTGGGGCAAGTTGGGGCACGGAAGATGAATTTGGCTGGCCTGCAGCTTGGCAACTGACAATAAGGGGAAAAAAAACTGTCTTATGGTAGAAAAGCATCAAGTCACCTCTTAGGTTTGATTCACACTCAAAATACCTGCTGGTGGTTTAAACACTTTTACAAGGACTATGGATTATGGCTAAATGCATTTGTCCCCTTCTTAAAAAATTGTCTTAATTAAATGC